TTTATCATTCTAAAAATCAGTTTTGAAAATGTTGCACCTATATGGAAATTAACTTTTGAAAACATTTCGTATATTTGAAAACCAACTTAAAAAATAGTTATATGTCGAAAATTTATATTTGGTTCGGAAGTACATAATCAAAAACTATTGTTTGATTCAATTGTTGATTGTCAAATTTGTTTAATCTATTTCGATAACCAGTACCAATTTATTTCCATCTTATTGCAAGTCAATATGAAATGAATAATGAAAATAATATAACAATAACTTACACTCAATTTGGTTTTGAGTTTTGAAAAATTATTTTTGGAAATTTCAATCTGTATTCTTTTGTTTTAGTGAACATTTTTAATATTCTAACCATTATTTTTGGATTCATTTAATTTAGATACACTCAAAAAGCATACAAAAATATGTGTTGAATTTTTAAAACTAACACACACACACACACACACACACAAAAATAAAAATAAAAAGATTTTAAAATTAACAAAAACATTTTTGAAAACTTAAAACTAAGCAGAGTATTAGTTTTTGAAGAATAATAGTAAAATAATACAAAAAATTATTGATTTAATTTTTTTTTTTTTTTTTTTTTTTGGCGTACCTTAGTGTATATGGTCAGAAAATTGTTAGTGTGCTGAAAAAATGTCGTGTGTTGGGTACGGTTTAGGTTTTGACTTAGGTTTAGGAGTGTGGTGGAAGTTTATGTTTTATGTGGTGTGTGTATATAATGTGTTGAAATTTTTGTACGCATTATATATTATGGACATATTTGAAACATTTTGTATGTGGAATGAATAAAACAAAAGATAAATAAATTCATCAAGTGCGTGTATTAAGAAAAATGTTCACAGAGTGTAAATAGTACGTGCAAATAGAATTACTCCATAAATGTAGAGTGCTGCTATTAGCACCTGCCAAAATTCTTTGGACCCCCTATTTTATAATTTTTTTTAATTACAATTATACTCTAAAGTAAAATTACATTAAAAGACATTATTAAATGGAACACCCACCTATCAATAAGAACTAATACTCTATAATATTGGACCCCCACCCCCACCCCCACTCCAACTCCAACTCCAACTCCAACTCCAACTATACGTATTCCATGTTTGTAAACCATAAACCTATTACTTTTCATAACTAACTAACATAAACCATAAATCTATTATTTTTCATAATCATCTTAAATCCTGAATGTGTCATCTTTATCACCATCATCAATGCTATTGAATTTGAAAGTTTTGCTTCAAGTATAACGTATACTTCGTCACTTATTTCACTGTGTAGAGCAATGAAGGACGAGGATAACATTCTCGGTCATTTATCTGTCTTGTATTAACATTCTCGGTCGTTTTCGGTGGTTCTTGTTTCGTTCGAGCTGTTCGGTACTGGTTGCTGACTGTTAGAATTATGTTCGGTAATACAGTATTGAACATAATCCTTTCGTTCAATACATAGGTTCCGAACATTAATGCAGATAGTCAGTTATGTAATTTTCTTTGTTAAACTAACTTAGAATGGAAAAGAGTGAATTGGAATGGATTTAAGTTATATGTTTTAAATGGATTTAATTCATGTTGTTTTAAGTTGTGAATTGGAATGGATACAAGTTACATAGTGATGAACAAATTTTGTTCGGACATACAATGCTGATAGGATCATTATTGTTCGACAAAACAGTTCTAAACAAAATACATTTTTTCGGCTAAACAGTGGTGAACAAATTGTTTTGGGCTACATTCAGAATTCTGATGGCGATTCAGACGATGATTCTGATGGCGATTCAGACGATGATTCTGTTTTTTCTTATCTTGCAAACGGTTATGTAAATCCCGTAGAAATTAGAATATCTTCGATCGATCTCAGCGATGACGAAGATACAAAAAGCAACGAAGAAGATGATGATGAGAGGATGAGAGAGGTTATTGATTCGGCAATACGGAGAGCGTTCAGAAAAGATGAGAGTTGTCGGAATGCTCCGTTGACGGCCGAGACGGCGACAAGAGAGATGGAGGATTGGGGTCCAAGAATTCTATACTGGACCAAGGCTCCAAACTCTGAAAATTGAGTGAGTCAGGAAAGGAGAGGGATGAAAACTTAGGTGGATGTGCATTTCATTGTGAAAATATTATGAATATGGGTAGATTTGATAATAAGTGGAGTGTCTAAAAAAACATTATTAAAATTTAAGATTTAGGATTGGGGTCCAAAAAAATAGAGGGTCTAAAGAATTTTGATAAGTGCTAATAACAGCACTCTAAATGTATTTGGTACAGTTTCAACATCAACTAGTAGATTACACTTTTAACCCTTTCGGAGCTTTCATCCAAACACATAAACCTTTTCAATTTTTGTGAAGTTTACAATAATTGATGGATTTGAAAAGTTCATAAAATAATAATTATTTTTTTTATGAACAAAAAAAGAGTTGAGTGGGTCCTTATTTTCATATTTTTTAATGAATGACGAATATACGTTTGACCTTATCATTTATTTAATAGCAATTCTATGTTCAAATAATAATAATAATAATAATAATAAAATAATACTACAAACTTAAATTTAATTACTCAAAAATTATTTAAAATTATTATCTTATGATTTATATTTTTCTATACATAGTTGTCATACTATACAAAATCTCCACCATACATACTCTCACTAAAAATTTTTTTAATGATCAAATCTGGCATCACATACTTTTTCTTTTTTTTTAATACAAAAAAATAAAAAAAATAAGACATATTTTGGTTTGTCTCTCAAACCATATGTTTGGAGAAAAAATTTCAAAAATATGTTTGATTAAATTTTTTAAAAAAAAAATTTTAAATCATTTTTCACTCTACTATGTATTAATCAATTACTTTTCTTTCCCCTATCTCATTCTCAATTACTTTTTCTTTTATACCCATCCATTTAACTACAAAAAAAATCAAATCATCTCAAATTCTAAAACTATTTTTAAAATATATAATTAAATAAAATTTTAAATTTTCTAAATTTTTTCTAAAAAATTATTTTTGAAACAATATTTCAAAACACAAAACAAACCAGGCTAGTTTTGTTTTTTGTTTTTTTGTTTTTTTTTTCCCACCAAGCAGGTACGATGTACTAAAATTCCAAGGACATGGCTATTGCAAGTGTAAAAAGTAGCTTTGGCAAAGCAAAATATAGTGCTTCCAACTATACAATTGACAATGCATTAGTGGCTTTCATCAAAATCATTCTTTCTTTTATTTTCCTTCACATTATTACCTTTGACCGACAAATTTTTTTTTTTTTGCTGCTGCTGCAATAATCGATTGCCATGACAAGAGACTTATATCTTTATTATACAACTTGTGGGCAATGTTGCATGTGATGCCTTTATCAAAGATTATTTTATTTTATTTTATTCCTGATGAGGAACCTTAAAAAGGTAGACTCGCATTAAAAGGAAAATCTCAAACACTACAAATAAAGAGTTAAATTTAAAAAGTATGGCATTAGTATTCATCAACAAACACTTTACCATTAGGATAGGATATTGCCTCTATGAAATATACCTAGCAAATTTATCATTTTTCTTGAGTCATGTACTTTTGGATCATGTTTGATTCACATGATTAATAGTGAGATACTAATAATCTTATCAAATTAGTGTGGTATTCATTATTCAACGGGATTAATACGATAAATTATTAATTGGATTAATAATCCCACCCTTACCCCATTACTAATAATCCTACAAATTTGTTGAATTAATTATCCATTGGATTAATAATCCTAAACCAAAATGTTAAAACAAACATAGAATAATTGAACCCACAAATTAATAATCTCAATCACATACTTTAATCCATCTAATCAAACATGTCCTTGGGGCCTTCTAATTGTATATCCTACGTTCTCTCAGTTTTCACACATACTCTGTATGTCTACCTTTTTCAGTACCCCTACCTCCTATTCCTCATTCTTCTTATATCTAGGGTATCAAGGTGGTAAGGTGGCAACTAGGGTTTTTAAGGTGATGGAAGGATGGCGGAAAGGGATGCTAAGGGAGTAAGGAAAGGGTGGGAGGGGTACTACAAGAGTGGGGGAGGGGGGCTGTGTCATTGTAGTGGGGGATGCTGGGGCAACAACGGCTACAATTGGTGGTGATGGCCACAACTAAGGTTTTGCAGTAGAGGTCGCGGTGGCTGGCTGTGATGGGCTTTGGAGGGAAGGTTTGCCATTTGTTATTAATAGTAATTTGCTTAACACTGTGTTTGATTGGGAGATTTGAGAAGTGATTTGAAAAGAGAAAAAGAAAATGTAAGTAAAATATGAATAAAATATACTTATATTTTACCTAGTTTCACACACTTTTTTTTCTTTACCTTTCCAAATCCTTTCTCAAATCTTCAAGCAAACACAATGTAATGGACACAATTGTAATTAATTAATTATAAAAAAAAAATAGCATGAACGGAGAGAAGATGTGGTGTGCAAATAGAGGCCCTAACACTTCTGGCACCCTTCTCAGAAATGTGTCTGCTATACTTTTTTTGTGATCAAAAGACACTATTGCCATCCACAGGCAGCTACAAAATGTGGCAAACTGCAAATTTAAATAAGCTACACAAGTAGGTTTAGTCATGTTTGAGGTCAGTGCATTGAATTGATGAACTACTACACGCAATCCACATAATAGGATGTTAGTAAGTTAGTAGAGTAGGACAAACAATTTAACACTCAACATGGTTTCCAATGTTTTCATGCAGTTGAGCAAAAATCCTTTCAAAAGCTTGACCAGCTTTCCCAAAAAAACTAGCATAACATAACCAATTTCCTGCATTCTATGCTTTCAAATCACACAACTGAAATAGACCAAGTACCTCTACTGCCTGTGCTCCAAAAGAAACACACGATTTATTCTGTCAAGTAAATGCTATACTAATTTTTCAATTTAAACACAACACATGCATACATGTGTGCGCACACAAATCATCTGATATAGATCAAGGATGAGGAGCCCTGAAGAATATAATTTTCCTTCCTCTTGAGACAGCACATCAGATAAAGCCAATCGCATGAACAAGGCTCAAAATGAACAAAATCTCATAGTTGAACATGCCATGATGTAATAATGCCCATATAGACCAAGAAAATAGCAATTTGTCTACATAGTATGGTAATGGTTTTTTACCAAGGTCAAGCCTGTTCTTGGTGTATATATCAATCAATATTTGAAACATAAAAACAAATTGAAAAGGCATTTTTATGCCTGCCTACCTGCCCTTGATACAGAGGAAAGACTGATTATGGTGGTGGTTGCAGTGGCCTCATTTGGTAGTAGTATTGAGGGTTGCCGCTTGCTGTGGCAGATGAGGAAAAACAGAGATTAAGGGCCGTTGGATTAGGAGGATTTGATGGATGAATGGAAGCAGAGAGAGCAGTAGTAGACACAGATGAGAATCCTGATGATGCTGCAGTAGAGAACGTCGCCATTTGGGTAGGGGTGACCCGACCATGCATTTGCCAAACCCAGTTTGGCGGTCCTTGAGAAGAACCCACTTCAATTCTTTTTTCTGTTGCTCTTTCCTGCCAAACAATCACAAAACTGACATCATGACTCCAACATGATTTCTCAAGAAAAAAGCATTACAAGTGCAATAATCCTTCAATTCTCTCTCTCCTTTTATCTCAACTTTCATGAGGGCTTCCATAAATATGCATTACACTCAACGCATTACAATCACATAGTAAGGATCAATATAAGTGCACCTATAGCAGCTACAGATCATGCAATACTAAAATTGCTGAACAATATTGACCGATTATATGATAGTAATAAATTATTACAATTATCAAATGCAAATATAGATTTTCTTTAGACAAAGCTTGACTAGTCTCATGACTATTCTCATTATTGGATGACACAAGCTTCACAACCACAGAAGTTTTTTATGTTTTTCTCAAATTTCCATACATCACAAGAGAAGAAATACTCGGCTACTAATGAATCACATATTGCTGCCTCTAATTTGTTTTATAGGCACCTAAATTTTGAGGAATCAAGCTGCAACATAATGCCAAGTGTGGCAAGTATGATGCTCAATTATTACAACTAGCATATTGGTTTAACAAAGATAATAAATGGTGCTTGAACTAGTATGATGATTGGAACCAACAAGGTTTCATACGTTTCAAGACAAAAGTAATAAATTTACCTCGTAACTAGGAAAGAAGTTAGGATATACGCCACCAGTCCATAAGGGACAGTGCTCGGATGTCATTGCTAGTCCTTCAAGAGTAGGATTCCCTATTGTAGTTGTAGAGGGATTCTTCATCTGTAATAGCAGAATTGGAAGAAATTCATTATTAGTAGCTTCAAAATTAACACGTGGATAACATATAACATATTCTTGGTAGCTTACTAAAGCAAACAAATTGAACATTAACAAGTTTCTCTCTATCAATTTCTGTCTCTTTCAACTAGCTTAATAAATTCACAGTTTTTTTAGTGACTTCAATATACAAGATCGTTATCAAACATGAGGTTTGTGGGACAAAATTACAATGGCCAGAAAAGGAGAAAATAAAAGGTATATCTCTAATTATTACATTTGATCTCCTTGCATCCTGAATGCCGTAAGGGTGAAATTGCAGATGCCCTGAATTTTTATTATCCTTTGGACCATCTCCAGAAGACGGGGTTGAAATCCCCAAGTTCAGATCAAGATTGTGGTCGCCACCTGCATTAACCTCAAAAGCCCACACTATAAAACACGGAACTAATAGTACCATAGATAGGAATATGAAAGAAGTCAATAAAATATTACATATAAGAATAATCCGGAGTATCAATCAGTACCTCCACCATTGACCTCAGATATTGTCTCCCCGTCATAAGTACTTGGCTCAAAGTTCGTGACTGCCTCCCTTCCGTTATATTGGATAGCTGCCTTGTCGTAAGCCCTGATTTCCAGAAAATAAAAAGGGAGATGTGTTGGATGACATCATAATGTGAAAATTCAGGGTAATAAATTCAGTATCAGGGAGAGTGTGATTCATAATCATTTGGACCTTGCAGCTTCTATTTCGCTGTCGAATAGCCCAAGATATATATACCTGCAATGCAAGCACCACCATCTCCAAGATGAAAATCCGGTTCCCAATCATTTCTTCTTTCAAATAGGCATCATCTTATATTTGTCTTCCAGACACATTAAAGAAATACTATAGAGAATTATCTAAAACCAATAATCATTTTTTATGTTGTATCTAAAACCAATTATAGTTTCACACTAGTAGACACTTAAAATTGTTAAATTCAACAGCTACCTCAAGAAAAAAATCAATCTGAAATTTAAATTCAATGATTTATAGTTCCTCACTTTTTGCCAAGAAACTGTCCCATTCGAGCTTCCCATCTGCCACATTTGTGCAGAGTCACTCCTCTATACTTTGAGCTCCCCCTTGAGAAACCAGTGCTCTGGCGGCGGAGTATGTGCACAAATTCTTCTTTGGTCAGATTCTTTGTCTGCAGATATTCAAAAGAAGCCAATAACTAATCAAATCCACTTGTGAAAGCAATATGCATATGGTACCACTAACAAATGCTCATTGTCATGGGTGTGTCAAATGATAACATACATATCTTATCTAACCCAAAAAATTTAAAAAAAGAATCCATGCATTTACCAACCTGTGTCAGATCCTCTTCATAGTCACTGAGATTAAAGTTTATGTCTGCATCAACACCCCGGAACTTAATTGCAGCACGGTCATAAGCTCTGCTACCAGAAAATCAAATTGCATGAGAATTAATCAAACCAGCTTAAAAACTAAGCTGAAACAGACCAATAATTTTCCGTTTATACACGATTTAGTATTACCTGGCCGCAGCATGAGCAGTGTCAAATCCACCTACCACATCCCAACATCAAAATTTATCAAAATTGACCAAAAATAGAAAACACAACAAATTTGCTTCTTTACTACCTAAACTATGAATAGAGAAACACACCAATTTGCTCCTCACTTCCTAAACAATGGAAATCAATCAAAAAAATAAAAATAAATAATATACTCGTATTCATACCCAAATACACTTGTTTCCCGCAGTCCCTGCATATAATCATATAAAAACTATGAATAAAAGCTCAAAACTACGTATTTATATAATGAGAAGAAGACTAAAAACAGAAATTATGCTAACCAGATATGCGATTCCCATCTTCCAGTTCTTCTGTAGAACGTCACTCCTCTGTATTGTGAGCTCCGAGACCTCGGTCCTCGTCTACTCTTCTTTACCTGCTGTTGTTGTGGTTGTAGGACTCTCACCTCTTGTAAGCCACCAGAGCTAGCTTGACCGAAGGAGAGATCTACCAAATTAGGCCTCAACAACGCGCCCGGCGACGGTGCCAAACTCTGCCCCACGGTCAATCCAGGGTCCCCGCTCACAGGGAAAAGCTGACGAGTCACAAACTCAGACTGAGTCATTCGATCCTCTTTGCCTTCCTCAGTAGTGTTGTCGTTGCACTCGCCTCCGAGCTTCATGATGCCGAAATTGAAGGCGAAGATGTCTCGTCCGGGGACGCGTGTCGAGCAGGAGTCATCGTCGTCGCCGGCATTGCTCGAAACTTCGACATTCACTATTGAGGAATTCGACGTCCCTGACTCGTCCATTTGGCCCCCTGAACCATCTGGAAACTTCTCTGTAATCGCCATGGAGTTTTCATTGTGGACAACACTGAGATTAAGATCCAACATGACTTTCTATCACTCAAATTCGTCTCCGATTATGAATATCTATCTATCTATCTATCTATCTATCTATCTATATATATATATATATGTTACTCGAACGATTGAGCTTCGCAGTAGCTTTTACTCAACTTTCGAACATCGATCGACGCGTTTGGCTAAAAAATTCAACGAATCAACTGCGAACACAATCCGATCAAAAATTTCGAGACTCGGAAGCGATCAAACACTTGACAAACAAATGATCGAACCAAAATTCCAAGCAGCAGAGAGAGAGAGAGAGAAACTACATAAAAACTGAATAAAATCAAGGATCCAGAAAATAACGAGAGAGAGAGAGAGAATCAGAGCTTCGATGAGCTCTTCCTATATGTGCCGGCGAACGGAGAAGATGAAGTGAGCTTGTCCGGCGAGTACCGGAGAGAGAGAGAAGTCTGTGTACTTGCATTCAAGAGATGGTTTCATCTTCGACTGTAGAATCATCACCGACTCTCCGATTCCATTTCTGTTAAGAGAGAGAGAGAGAGTACACAGAAAGAGAGAGGAGAGAGAGAGAGAGTACAGAGAGAGAGGAGGAGATGGGACGTGAGAAGGGAACATTTCGGGCCCATTTTAAGAGTGAACCATTTTGGTCCGTGCCCGAGGAAACCGGCTTTTCCGGTAACCCGGTTCTTGATATTGTCAAGAGATATATTGCCTTATTATTATTATTTTTTAATATATCCACCCACGAACCAAATGGGTTGGTCTCGTAGTAGACGACACAGCCGTCTACAGCCAATCCGTATCTCTAGCCGCATACGTCTATGTATAAGTGTTCCCCCCCCCCCCCCTCTTTTTAAAAAAAAAAAAATTAAAAAAAAAAAAAAAATTAAAA